GGGTGGGTGGGTGGATGGGTGGGTGGATGGATGGATGGATGGGTGGGTAGTGGGTGGGTGGATGGTGGGGTGGGTGGATGGGTGGGAGGGTGGGTGGGTGGATGGGTGGGGATGGGTGGGGGGATGGGTGGGGGGATGGGGAGGGGGGATGGATGGATGGATGGGTGGGGGGATGGATGGGTGGATGGATGGGGGTATGGGTGGATGGATGGATGGGTGGATGGATGGGGATGGGTGGGTGGGTGGATGGATGGATGGGTGGGTGGATGGATGGTGAGAGGGGACAGAAGATCTGAAAAGGAGCCGTCACCCAGGAGAAGTGTCTAGTGGACCAAGGCCAGTGGGCCCTCCAGTCGCCTGGGCAGAGCAGCTATGGCCTTGAGAAGCCAGCTGTGTCTTGGGGCAGGGTGGGGGCAGGCTGGGCACAGGGTCCCCCTCCAGCTGCAGCTCACCTGAGCAAGTGTGCTTGTTCCTGTGGAGAACATAGCCCATACGGCAGGAGCAGTAGAAGCCACCCAGGTGATTGTGGCAGTGGTGCTCGCAGGTGGGGGCCTCTCCTGGGGGCACCTGGCACTCGTCGATGTCTGGGGGAGGGGCCGGCAGGCAGTCAGCGGGGAAGGAGAGAGGACATCGCTGAGGCCTAGGCTCGGGTTTAGGGCCCCTCCAGTAACATGGCCTGACCTGAGAGGAGCCTCCTCTTGTCTGCAGGTGTCTCATGCCCAGCTGAGCGCTAGAGGCCCAGGGTCACTGCGACCTCGCTGCACCACTTGGAGGGAGACCTAAATACCATCTTTTTTAAACCAATGACGGTTTAATGGTCCTGCTCGTGGTGACTAGGCTAGTGAAAGGAGCGACCGGCAAGGGAACCCAGTGGGTGGGCCTCTATATGGGTTTCACCAAATTCTTGCAGCAGTCTCAGGATGAGCACAGAGAGGTTGAGCCACTTGCCCGAGGCCAACAGCAAGTCCCTGCAGGAGCCAGAATCTGAAAGCAAGTGCCAGACTCGAAGCCCAGAGGCAGACGCCGCGCTCAGCCCAGTGGCACCCGTCCCACCTGTGAACGGGCTCACTTGGTCCTTGCATCACGGGGCCCACGAGGACGTCCTGGCTCAGCACCTGGCACTGAATGGGGCTCAGCCTAGAGCAGAGGTCCTGGCTGTTGCTGATATTTGCACTGCGATGATGATGTCAGACCAGGTGGGGACGCCCTCCTGCTGGTCTGGCAGGAGTCCAGCCTCAGGGAGGCGGGGGGAAGGGAGGGCTGGTCTGGCCCAAGATAGTCCCCCCGCACCAACCGGCCTTCTCTCAGCTCACCCTCTGCTGAGTAGAAGGCCTCGAAGCCCGCGAACGGCTTCTCGTTGGAGTAGTCGGAGCGGAAGGTGACGTCGAGGCTGGAGCCCGGCGAGTAGAAGGTGGCGTTGCCGGGCGCCCGCTCCGTGTCCGTGCTCTCTGACCCGCACAGCGTGGCCAGCACCGTGGTCCCGGCGCTCAGCTGTGGGGTTGCGGGTCACGGGGGGAAGGCGAGACCCCGGGCCTGCCAGACCTCCCGCCCGCGCTCCGAGGCCAGCCCCCGCCCCCGGGGGTCCCCGTGCCCCAGCCCGTCCTGCCGGCACCTTGACGAAGTCGTACTCGCAGAGGTAGGAGGGCTCCAGCTGGAAGTGAGTGAAGTAGAGGCGCAGGCGGTAGCCGGGGGGCGCCGTCAGGGCCCAGCGCTGCTCATGGTTGTTGGCATACGTGCCTGGGAAGCCAGGAGATGCCAGGCGCCCGAACACGGGCTTGGGCCACTGCGGGCCCGAGGACGTGGTGGCTGCCGAGCCCCACAGCAGACCCAGGGTGACCAGCAGCCTGAAGACAGCGCAGGGGAGGGGCGGTGAGGCCCAGTCTCACCCCTCACCCCCGCTGGGGAGACCCTGGGGGCTTCCACCCACCTCATGGTGCACTCGGCCAGGCCCGGTCTGGAGCCCCGGGGCGCCTCACCTTTGATCTGTTTGTCCAACAGCCGGCCCTGCCCCCAGCCGCCCTGCCCCTGGCATTCTGGGAACAGACCCCATGACTCCTGCCTGCCCAGACTTCCGGGCAGGCAGGACAGGATGCTCCAGGAGCCAGGGGGCTGAACCTGGATGACAGCCAGCTCCGGGGACAAATCCTGGCTCTGTCCCTCACCCTGAACCTCTGTGGTTCCCCCGCCGTGTGTGACTTCCGAGGTCGCCCAGGGTCTCTGTGACAATGACCTCGGCAGCGACGGCTTCTAGGCGGAGATGGGGGAGGCACACACACACACCTACCTTTGCCTCCTGAAACGCTACGATAAGAGAGAAGAGAAAAGTCTTAAAAACACGAGCCCACGACGATGGGGAATGTGGGAGAGGAGGCGGCATCAACATTTAGGAAGCTGGGGAAACAGATGGACAGGTGGAAACAGCTCTCCAGGAAGCAACTCTAAGTTGGCGGTGGAATCAGGAATTGGCGGCACCAGGTCCTTCTGGACGCATGTAAGAATCTTGCCAATCCCTATTTCCCATCCCCCGACCTCAGCAGAAACGTGGAGACTTATTCTTGGAGGGAGTATATGGAGAGTCCCAGGTCCAGCTGAGCATGGGAGGGGCAGACAGAAAACAGGGGCACTAAGCAGACAGACCAGCCTTCCTCTGACTCAACTCCTAGAACCTGGCAGCCACCAGGCTTCTCTCTTTTTCCTGGGAAGTGTTGACGAGTTCAGGAGGAAAGACCTAAAGACACTGACTTAAGGTTCTACAAGCAAATGGCTCAGCCGCCTCACCCACAGTGAAAGTCAGCTGACAAGCCCCCATCACGCGCTCAGAGCTTCCAATTAGCTTTTTAGTCCCCAGTCTTACTCATGAGCAGAACCTTCAAGGGTTACTGAGGAAAACCTCACACGTGAGGGAGAAAGACCAAAAAAATCAACCAACCAACAACAAAACAGTAAGAAGCAGTGAGAAGAAAATGTCCAAAACTAAAATGAAGCAATAATTAATATCTTCAAAGCAAAAAGAGAGGCCAGAACAAGAAGCAAGAACCGTATGCTATTTAACAAGAGCATTCAGAGAACAAAAAACAGCTTGGGGAAATAAAAATATGGCAGAAACAAAAAACTCAACAAGATGTTTGGAAGATAAGATTGAAGAAATCTTCCATAAAAATAGAGTCAAAAAGAAATGAAAAAGCAGTAAAGTCCTATACAGTATGTCAAAGACTAAATAACAGGAATTCTAGAAAAAGACAACAAAGAAAACAGAGGAAAGGAAATTGTAAACAAAATAATGCAAGGAAATTTCCCAGAACTGAAAAGAAGGCGAGTTTACCGATTGAAAATGTCCTCCAAGTGCCCAGAACGACAGATGAAAATAGAATTTTACACCTGATATTTGCAAAACATCAGAGAGAAAAATTATGTTCTACAAACTTTGAGAGACAGAGAGAGAGGGGAGGAGAGCGAAAACAGAGCAGATCACTTACAAAGGATCATGAAAAGAATGATTTTGGAGCTATCGAAATAACACTGGAAACTAGAAGCCAGCATCCGGTGAGTCCCATATTGGGGTATTCACGCCCTCATGTGTAGTCCTCTCCCACACTGGGTAGGGCTTATGGATAGGGCATGACTGGAATGATGGTGTGTAATGTGTGGCTAGGCATACAAGACATCGCAGCGTCCACCTGCCTCTCTCTCTGATCACTCGCTCTGGGGGAAGCCAGCCACCATGTGTGAGGACACTCAGTGTCCCTGTGGAGAGGTCCACATGGGGAGGAACTGAGGCCTCCTAACATCTGTCAGCATAATCTGCTAGTCATGTGACTGAGTCATCTTGGAAGCTGACCCTCCAGCTCTAGCGACAGCTTTACTGCAACTTCATGAATGACTCTAAACCGAACCAACCAGCTAAGTCACTCCCAAATTCCTGACCCACAGAAAAGGCATGTTTATTGTTATTGTTTCAATCTGCTACATTTTGGGCTAATTTTAAACACAGGAATAGATAACACTGGAAAACAGCAAATCTCAAAACGTTGAAGGAAGATAATTTCCAACATATTTCTATACTCAACCAAATTCTGTACCCATCAATTAAGCATGAAGATGGAAACAAGAGATTCATACATGTCAGGTTATTGAAAACTTTCATCCCTTGTCCCCTTTCTCAGAAGGCTCCTCTAGGATATGCTTCACCAAAACGAGGGAGTAAACCAAGAAACAGGAAGATATGGGGTCCAAGAGACAAGAGTCCCGACAGGGTATCCCACTTGGGGTAGTCAGGAGGCTTGGAACAGATTCTTCAGGAAGATGAAAATGATAGGACACCGGTGGAGTCCAAAGATTGTCCAAAAAAATTTTTTTCCAGTAATTATTTTTCCTGAATGAAAGTGTTATATACATTATGGTACAACTCATAATAAAGAAATGCACGGTATGTATATTAGTTTCTTATTACTGAACATTCCAATAAATATAATCATGAATTATAATTATAATGAGGCTACGTAAAATACTTAGAATCTCACAATAAGGAAAAAAAAAAACAACTGATTAGCACATTGACCAGAACCTCAGGAAGTGTTTTGAATCCAAAGGTCTTAAGAGCTTTAGCGATTTGGTAAAAGTTTGGGGCTAAATTAGTGATAAATTTATTGAAAATGAAGCGAATGCAAAAACCCTCCAGGAAAAACAAGCTGTGCCAGAGATAAAAAGTTACCATTTTCTCTGAGTCTCAGCTGAGAACGGCATTTGCCTAACTTGTAACGGTGCAAACACTGATTGCGGAGCCAACCAAGGTTATCGTTGAATGCTTGAGAGTGTGGTGGGGCAGGGAAGCAAAGAGCTAAATCCTCACGCTCCCCAGTGGAAAATCAACAATTATGACTGAAACTGACAAATCGAGAAGCAGTAATACAAGCATATTGTTTAGAGGCATGAGCAAAATGCTCAGCTGAAAGAGGTAAACGTGGCTGCCTCCAGGGAGAAAAGCAGGTACAGCAGGGCTGCTCTTTCTCTCCTAACAATCCGCATGGGAACTACTTGTATCCTTAAACCGGGGGCGGGGGGGGAAGCAGGGCTAATTTTTTTTTTAACTTTATTTTTTATACAGCAGGTTCTTATTAGTTATCCATTTCATACCTATTAGTGTATATATGTCAATCCCAATCTCCCAACTCATCCCCCCCCTCCCAGCCACTTTCCCCCCTTGGTGTACATACGTTTGTTCTCTGTACCTGTGGGCAGGGCTGATTTTAATAGCTGAATTTCAGAGCTCTAGATAGGACTGATTTTACTCTCCGTGCCACAGACTGGGCCTGTTCACGGCCCTCTTCCAGATTTCTGGAACTTTGGAGGACTCAGGTCACACCCCCACCGAACGCCTGCTTTTGCTTCTGCTTCTGCTTCTGTGGATCAGTCTGTGTTCAAATCACATCCACCCAGCTGTGGGGTTCAGTCCTCAACGCCCACCCTTTCCAGGTGGGCACATGCATGCAGATGCCACTAAAAGTTGGGGAAGTGGAGGGACTGACACTGCAGACACCTTCTAGTCCAGGTCAGGCATTCTTGCAGCTACTTCTGCAACCTGGGCCCTCTCTTCTTCCTCTGCCCTGAGAAGAAATCCTGATTTCCACCAGCTCAGTGAGAACGACGTGACACGTGCTCCTTAATGAAGCCCTGTAACAGCTGAGGACCACTGCTCTCATTTTACAGACAGGGTGACCGAGTCAGGAGTTGTGCGTAGCTCAAGTCACAGAGTTCGTGTGACCCAGGTCCAGTGCCCCCAGCGCTGGGACCGCCCCCCTTCCCTGCCCACCTTCATTCCCTGGGTCATCCTCACGATGGACCTTCCTGGAGCCTGGCCAGTAAGATGAGCCACGGGGAGGAGGGCCACTGAGAGTGGAGGTCCAGGCAGCTGCCCCTGCTGGGAGCCCCAGGGTGCTCCGGCTGAGCTGCAGAGGCCCACGGAGCGGAGTGGCTCCTGGGAGACCAGCTGCCTGGTAAGGCCTCGGGCATGTCACCTCATCTTGTGTGGATTTAACAGTATCTTCCTGCCTGCCTTCCTTGTCAAGCTGGTGACAGGACAGTGCTCCATAGCTGGCCATCACCAGTCCTCCTTTCCTGGTACTTTCTTGCAGCCCAGCCGAGTCCTGACTCCGCCGGGCCTCCGCGGGAGGGGGAAGACCGGGGGGTTGGAATGGGGAGGTTAGCTTGGGATCAGACTTGCTGACCAGGGATGAACCCCAAAACATGCTCACAGACCAGGGGCTTCGTGAGGGTGGAGCACGGGAAGCCCAGAGGGGGTGGGTGACTGGCCTGAGGCCACTCGAGGAGTTGGTGGCACAGCTGGACCCCTGTTCCCACCCCTATTATGACTGCAGTCTTAGCTCCTGCCGAGTGGGGCCTCCAAGGTGGGTGCCCAGGGTAGGAGCGGGGCTGGGAGTATCCCTGAACCACCGCCAGGGTTCCCACACCCACGCTGGCCCCCAACCTGCCAGCCCCAGTCTCCCAGGTTAACACATTCCCTGACCACGTCCCTGCCGAGGGCAGGTGTGGGGCGGGGGAGGTGATGCCAGCTTTTGCAAGGAGCAGGGGCCAATCCCCCGAGTTAGGAGGGGGCTGGAGGCGCCCTCCACCAGCCTGCATCCTGTTGTGGTGGCTCTGGTCCCACCACCAGACCCTCAGTCCCCGCAGTCAGCAGGACCGAGGCGCCTGCCGGTTCAGCACCTTGGAGAGGGGACAGTCACATGCCCACAGAGTCCTTGTGTAGCCGCCCACACCTGCTTTCTCAACCTCTCAACACTTGGGGGAAGCTTCTAGGAACTTACCAGAGGGCAGGCTCGCGAGGGGGGCAGCAGGATCTGAACCCAGGTCTGTAATCTGAGCCGAGTCAAGGCCCCTGACTTGCAGGCCCAGGGAACCGGACCCCAGTCATGCTCCTCAAAGCTGCCTCTGGGGTCACGTCCGCACCCACCCCAGGATGGGACCTGGCCCAGAGTCTTCTGAGAGCCCTGCCGGGCAGCCCCAAGACAAAACAAAGCCCTTGACTCTGACAACCCCCAGCCCGGGCCCCATGGGCCTATCACCACCAGCCTTGTACAGGGCTTGGTGAAGGAATGCTAAAGCTTCTCGGGACAGACTTGGCTCCAGTTTGATGACTGCCGCATCCCTGGGCGCCACGGGGCTCAAGGGGCCGGTCCACGGTTACACAGGGAGGCAGGCCTGCCTACTCCCACGGCAGACAATCGAAGGCCAGACAGCGGGGCCAGCTCAGGGCCTGGCACACGGGGGAACCCATTAATGGCTGATGCAGCCCCTGCCTGGGCCAGTTTGAAGTCCAGGGACACACAATTCAGCATTTTGTTATAAATACACGTGTTTGGTGAGTGAGGGGCGACAGAAGGTGGGTGGTTGCTGTACACAGCTGGTATAGGCTTGGAGGCTGAACTCCACAAACAGGAAGACAGACAGTCCGCCCAGCAGGGCCGGCCGGGCAGCGTTCTGGGGCCTGTAACACTCGGTTGGTGGGCGAGCCAGCGGGGGTCTTGTCCAGGGCTGGTGCGGCCCAGGCGCCCCGGAGGCTCCCTGGCCAAGGTCCTGGGCAGCGTGGGCAGTGGCACGTGGACTCAGTGCACATCATTCAGAGCCTGGTGGGACATGAGGCCTAGTCAGGAGGGTGCTGGATTGTGAGGGGGTCAAAGGGGCCCTTCAGGGAGCCCTGGGTCTCCCTGCCCCGCAGGTAGCTCACCTTCCGGGCAAACTCGGGCAGGACGAAGGCTGCCTGGTGCACGTCGGAGTTGTAGTATTTCAGCTGCA